TATGTGGAGTCGAAGAGTAACGAAGATTTGACAGTGACAGAAGAAAACTGTTATTGTGTCTCTCTTCTACTTGGTCTAATGACTTGGCTCATTTTTCAAATTGACTCCTCCACTTAAATAAATCAAGCTGTGTTGATCAATAGGCTACTATGAATGCTGATGGGAAGCTTTGTCGACGTAAATTTAAAACGAATTATGATTTCAGAGCCATTTTCAAGACTTTAGGGTCAAAAGATTCAATAATTTAGATCTCGTTTCATGTACTTCGATAATCGATTCCACTCTACCTACTGACTCGCAGCCAAAACTCGCTATCGAACTCATGCAGTATTGTCAACTTGACAGTATTTACTACACTTCTCCATGGTATCAGCGTATGTAAACGAGCCATTCAAAATCGTCCCCAACTAACATCAGTGTATTATTAGTGCATAAGGCAACGCCAGGCACAATCACTCAATTCCACGACATCCTTTCCAACAGACTTCCCACACTCAAAGGTAAATGGAGCTTCACCTTCAAGATCTTCAGAAATAATATCCACTCCATACCCCCAGAGCTTGCCGAAACACATGACTCGGCTCCTGAATCACAGTTCTTGTACACCTGGTCCCCTTCATACTTGAACGATTCCTGCGTCACTCTAATAAACAAGAAGAATGCCACCGTCATGAGTCACATCGTTCAAGAAGAACTTGGATCTTCTGGAAATGCTGAATTGGCTATTCCTAACGATCATTTACACAAAGGTGCCACGTCTGGACTCAATGATTCATTTGATTTTTTGGTAGGCCATAGAATGCAAAGTATGTGGACCCAAAGACAAACAATCAGAGGTGATGGCGGGCAAATTTACGAACTAGAGAACGGAAACGTCACTATTAGAACAGCAAATGTTTCACTTCACGGTAACTTTCGTGGATTCTTGATTCAAATCGAAGACGACCATACAAAATCTGATACTACAGACCGGAAAGCAATAATCGATGAGCTCATTAAAAAGTACGACATTCCATCCGGCAACCTCTGCTTCGATGTTATGGATCCAGCCCAATTAGATATCTATGGCGATTTGGCCCTTCAATACGCTGAAATCTTGAACTTTTAGAGCCACTCTACCTAGTGTGGTGCACGGATGTTTCAGGTGGTTTTTCTGGAGATGCCCATCTCAAATGAGATCTTGAAAGTTGAACCCAGAGCTACCATGGTCAAAGCGAACAAGAAAAACAAAAAGCTTGATAGAAAGGCTAGGCGTCAAACTGAAGAAGAGGAGCTTGCTCTGCTCAAGAAGAGAATTGAGGAATTCCAGCCGGAGGATACAAAGGAAACCTCTCAGTTCCAAGATTACCCCATTACAGAAGCGACGCTTCGAGGTCTTCGAGAAGCCAACTTTGTCTCCATGACGGATATTCAGAAAAGAACGATTCTTCCAGCTTTGAAGGGTGAAGATATTATTGGTACTGCTAAAACAGGATCTGGTAAAACTTTGGCTTTCTTGATACCTGTGATTGAGTGTTTGATTCACAATAATGTCACCGAGTATGACGGCTTAGCTGCTCTCATAGTCTCACCCACCAGAGAGTTAGCTGTCCAGATTTTCGAAGTTCTCACAAAGATCGGAAAGTACAACGCGTTCTCTGCTGGTTTGGTGACTGGTGGAAAAGATGTTCAATTCGAGAAGGAGAGAATCGGTAGAATGAACATCCTTGTTGGTACCCCCGGCAGAATTTCACAGCATTTCAATCAATCCGTTGGCATCGAAACCTCCAACCTTCAAATTCTTGTTCTCGATGAGGCTGATAGGTGTTTGGACATGGGTTTCAGAAAACAGATTGATAGCATTTTGGGACACTTGTCCCCTGAGAGACAAACCTTGCTCTTCTCCGCCACCCAATCTGACAGCGTGAAAGACCTTGCAAGGTTGTCTCTTACAAACCCAACGAAGATTGGTGTTTCCTCCGATGCTAGCGTATCAGCAACTCCTGATACCTTAGATCAGTACTACATTCGCATCAACCTTGAGGACAAGCTCGATGTTCTCTGGTCATTCATCAAAACGCATCTCAAAAGCAAGATTCTTGTCTTCTTTTCGTCCTCAAAGCAAGTTCAGTATACGTATGAAACGTTCAGGACGTTACAACCTGGTATATCCTTGATGAGACTTTACGGTCGTCACAAACAAACGTCAAGATTGGAAACCACGACGAAGTTTTCTCAGGCTCAATACGCCTGCTTGTTTGCCACCGATATCGTCGCTAGAGGATTGGACTTCCCTGCCATTGATTGGGTGATTCAGGTTGACTGTCCTGAGGATGCTGCCACCTATGTTCATCGTGTCGGACGTTGTGCAAGATTTGGGCGTTCCGGTAAGTCGCTTCTTATGCTCATGCCATCCGAGGAGGAAGCTATGCTCAAAAGACTTCAGAGTAATGATATTGAGATCAAAAACATGAACATAAAGAAGAACAGCAAGAAGACTATCCGGCCTCAGCTTCAATCACTTTGTTTCAAGGACCCTCAAATGAAGAATTTGGGTCAACGTGCATTCATTTCATACTACCGTTCCATTTACGTCCAGAAGGATAAAGAAGTTTTTGACGTCGAATCCCTTCCTGCTGATAAGTTCGCTGAGTCATTGGGTCTTCCTGGTGCTCCCAAGATCAAGATTAAGGGAGGAGAAGGTAATAAGGAGAAGAAGAATATGTCGAGACAACTCATGGAGCTTGAGCAAGCTGACAGGGACGGCGAGGTCAAGTCGGACGATAAAAAGAAGGTCAGAACAAAATACGATAGAATGTTTGAGAGACAAAATCAGACTGTTCTTTCTAAAGAATATCTCAATATGACTGGTACGGAAATCAGGAAGGCAAAGGACGAATCTGAGGAAGAGAGTGATGATGACTTCATGAAGGTGAAGAGAACCGATCACGATATCAAAGATACCGAAATTCCTGATCTTAGCCTTCCAGCTTCTAAGAGAGCCGCCAAAAAAGCTCTTTCTAAGAAGTTGTCCATCAAGGACAAGGGTAATCCTACGAAGTTGGTGTTCGATGACGACGGCGAAGCACACCCTATTTACGAACTTGAGGATGAAGAAGACTTCAGAAAGAAGGGTGACGCCAAGGACCAAAAGAAGGAGTTCGTTTCTAAGGAGACTGACATGATGAACGAGGCCGATGTTGCCGACAAAGCTTTGGCAAAGGCAAAGAGGCAAGAAAAGAAGCGGAAGCGGAAGGAAGCTGAGAGAAGAATGTTGGAGGAGGATGACAGTGGTGACGATGAGGGTGTTCAGGTTACTCTCGGTGCGCCAGATCTCGAGAGAGATCTCGAGTCACTGGATGAGGAAATTGAGGAACCTAAGCTGAAGAAACCTAAGTGGTTCGAAAACAGCAAGAACTCGAACAATGATGGAGATGATGGTGTTGTTGAGATCGATGAGCCTCAGTCCTTGGAAGACTTGGAGGCTTTGACCTCTAGGTTGATCAATAATTAACGAAACATATCACGCTATAGAATTAAAAGATTATCATTCATGCAGTGTTTATTAAGTATGCTATCTAATTTCAGGAGTTGCCACAAGCTTAGCGGTCACTTCGCCCAATCTGTGGACATTGCCGGCGATTTTCTGGCCCCTTTCGTCCAAAACCTCTTCATCGTCGTCCTTCGGTTTGTCTGCAGCTTCAATGACATAGAGCTCTTGGAGAAAGTTTGAAGGAACACCCTGGGCAACATTTAGCGTAGTATTGGCTCCAATAGACATGGTGATCTTACCCGATCTGTGAAAGTTGAGCTGTCCAATTTGGCCCTGAAAGTCCGCCAACGTAGGGAGAGCTAGACTTGAAGTTGTCGAATCAGTTTCCATCTTTTCGTCCGTTTCGCTGTCCTTGCTGATTTGGGGTAGATGAACCATGAAATAATTGCCTGGCGCTCTTGTACCTGAATCTTCAGCTTTAAGTCCTGCAAATTTACCTGTGACCAAGTCCACAATAGCACGTTGATCGTCAATAAGCCTATCATGCTCATCATTCTCGACTGTGTCGCCAACACGTTCTGCAACTGGGCCTGGTGTAGCTTCTATCTTGATGTCTTCAGACGATTCACTCTTGACCAACTCAGGTCTAGGTGTGCGTGAAGGTGCCCTGGAGGAGGAAGCTGAGACAGTGGATGAAAGAGGAATTGCTGCCTTAACGGCCGCTTTTTCCTCGTCTTTGTAGGGCCTCACAGGGAAAAGTACCGTCTCGCTTTCGTCAAATTGATACTCTTTACTCATGTTGATCTTCGTGAGACCACCCTCGTCATCGGATTCTTCACCCTGAACGGAATCAGTCTGAGTTCGACTCTTCAACTTTAAATTTTGTAAAGGATCAGCCTGTTCTTTGCCTCCAGACCCGTAGACCTTATCGCTAGTTAAACCTGTTTTCGAGGTAGCGACTGGACCACTGCCCACGGCAGAAGAGGCTAATGGGCCTGATGATACTAAGTGAGTACCAACATAAGCTCCACCTCTTCCTCTACCACGGCCCCTGGCACCTCCACGCCCTCTAGTTGGTGGTGGGTTTGGTTTCTCTTCTGTTTTCACTATAGGAGCATTTTTGTCTCTATCTTCCTTTGATTTTCTTGCCACCACTTTTGGCTTAAACTTAAGTGCGGGCTTAGAGCCCGATTTCTTTGGATTGAGCGAATCTAGTCTGTTGGACATAGCTAGATCACAAGGAGATGTAGAGCTGATACGCTTAGATGTGAATCGAGGTGCATTTCAACACCCGTACACCCTAACACGAAGAAGCTTTCCACGTTGTTCGTTGGTTCCTTGCAATTGAAGGTAAATTCTTTGCAAATTATCCAGGTTAAAGAATGATCATTTTTCTCTAATTATCGACTTTATCCTGCCAATACTTCTATATGGTGTAGTTGTTTGGAGCCTCGGTGCAGTACTATCAAAAAAGTAGCGATGAGGCATCACTAGATCTCACTCTCAGTAAGATCCATTCACTATCGCCATGGCAGACATCTCCGATAATGAGCTCGATGAGTTCGATGCTGGCAGAGATAAGATTTTGCTAGAACAAGCAGGTGATTATCTTCAACAAAAAGACTCCGATGCAGAAGATTCAGAGGAAGAGGTCCTTGGTCTCAGAAACGAGGAGGTTTCCGAAAGTGAGGAAGATGACATGGATGACATTGATGGACAGGCCGAAGAGGAAGAAGAAGATTCCGACCCAGAGGGCTGGGGTTCCAAGAAGAATTACTACGGAGGTGACGATGACAGTGATGATGATGAGATGGCTGCCGAAGCTCTCAGGCAACAAAAGAAGCATTTACAGGACCTTGCCATGGATGACTTCGTGGACGAAGACATGATGGAAGATTGGTCTAAGAAAGCACAAGATCATGACGCCCAAGAATCGAAGGACGTTGTGGTTCAAGATGAGGATTTGGACTTGGACCTGTTAGATGACGAGGAAAAGTATAAGTTCTTGACAGGTTCATTTCCGGAATTTGTGCCATTACTCAAAGAATTCAACAGTCTTACTCCGACATTAGAGGAGCTCGAGAAAAACTCCCAACCAAATGCCCTGGTGGAAGCAAAACTCGTTGCAGTACGTGCCTACTTGGCCTCGATATCGTCATACTTTGCATTACTCGCCGAGAGATTGGGTGGCTCTGAAAAATTCACCAGCATGAAAGATGACCCCGTAATGGAGCTGATTCTTCTGAGCAGAGAGGTCTGGAGACAGGCCAATGAGTTGAGTTTGGAAGAAACAGCACCTTCGCAGGGTGACGAGGATATCAATGAGATTGAAGAAGAGGTCGAATCCGAGGACGACGTTCCACAGCAGCCAGTCTTGACAGATTCAGAGGAAGAAGAAGAAGAGCTGGTCAGTGAAGAAGAACCCACCACAGAACCAGAGACTGAAGTTGCACCCAAGAAACGTGTTCCAAGAGATGTGCCAACTTCGTTGGGAGATTACTCCGAGCAGAGTGCTATTGACGCTGGCGACCTTCTTGAGAAGAACCGTCGTAAGAAGTCATTACGGTTTTACACCGCCAAGATCAACAAGGCTTCCAACAAAAGAGACCCCGATGAACAGTTTGCTGGTGACGCCGATTTGCCATACAAAGAGAGACTCTTTGAGAGGCAACAGAGGCTTATGGAGGAGGCTCGTAAAAGAGGTTTGGGTGGCAAAGATAGCATTGGTGATGACTTGGATGGTAATGACCTAGACAGTGGTGATGAAAGAGATGTCACCAACATTAATGACATGGATGGTGCTGACTACTACGAGACCATGAAAAATGCCAGAGACAGCAAGAAGCAGGCTAGACGCTCTGCTCATAATGATGCTAAAAAGGCTGCTAGAGATGGTAAGTTGGCCGATTTGGCCGAAACGGCGGATGAAAACGGCAAGAGAGCTCTTAATTTCCAGATCCTTAAGAACAAGGGTCTCACGCCGAACAGAAAGAACGACAACAGAAATGCCAGAGTCAAGAAGAGAAAGAAGTACGACGCCGCCAAGAAGAAGCTCAAGTCTGTCAGACAAGTCTACGATCAAAACAACCGCGGTCCATACCAGGGAGAGAAGACCGGTATCAAGAAGGGCATGTCTCGTTCGGTCAAGTTGGTTTAATAGATTACACTTTTGCATCAAAGATCGCAAGTTGTATATGTACATTAAGGATTCATCGCAGGTATAGTAAGCTTAACGGCTGAAAGTGATATCGTCTATACGTAAAATGGATTTCACAGTCTCAGCCGCCAAGGTGATGGCGCTCGTGGACACAAGGACGGGCTGCAACACATTCTCAGTGAATGTGTTCGAGGCACCGTATCTTCTGACAGAAATACCAGCATTCTTCTCGCCCATCTCGTGTCTGTTCCTCAAGTCAGTAACCACATTAATTGGGTTCAAGCCAGCGTTCTCAGCCAACGTAGTTGGAATAACCTCCAAAGCCTGGGCGAAGACCTGGTATACGAAGTGCTCCACACCGCTCAATTTACTTGACTCCTTGAACAAAACTCTGGACGCCTCAATTTCTGGAGCACCACCACCGGCGATCAAAGCCTTCTCCTTCACCAAACATCTCACAACGCAGAGAGCATCGTGAATCGATCTTTCAGTCTCATCCAAAACCAAGTTGTTGGCACCACGCACAACCACGGAAACGGTTGGGCGAGTGTTCTTTGGGTTCACACCTGTAATTCTGACGATCTTAGAGCCAGAAGATTCGAATTCTTCAACGAGCTCGGCAGAGCCCAATCTGTCTTCGGTGAAGTTTTCAACGTCGGCAATAGGTTTACATCCGGTAGCCTTGGACAAGAACTCAACCTCATCTCTCTCAATGTCCTTGATAACCATGATATTGAGCTTGGCAAGGAAATGCAAAGCCAAGTCGTTAACGGCATCTCTCAAAATAGATTTCTGGATCAACAACACGTTACACTTAGCTTTCTTGATCTTCTTGCAAATGTTCAACAAGTATGCTCTTTCTTCTTTAAGGATCTTGTCCATCTGTCTGTAGTCGTTCACGACAACGTTGTTCTCCATGTCAGGCTTTGGTGGAGACAACTGGAATTGAATCAAACCGATACGAGCCTTCTCGATTCTAGAGGGACCACCAGCAGACTTCAAAACGTTTTGCGTGAGCACAACACCATCGACCAACTCTGTGTCGTCGATAGTACCACCCACTTTCTTAATAAGACGGATATCGTTCAAGTCAACGTTGTCCTGGCCTTCGTTCATGACCTTAAGAACGGAATCGACCGAGAGTGGAGACAACAAAGATGAGTGTTGAGAAACAATCTTTGAGGACAAGGACGTGGAAGCGGCCTTGATCAAGATCTCGCGGTCCTTCAAGTCGATCTTGTGAGACATCTCCAAGTAAACTTCACAAACGCGAGCAGCAGCTCTCTGGAAGCTCTCACCAACTAGGGTTGGATGGATGCCCTTATTCAACAATTTTTCAGCGGCGCCTAAGAGGGAACCAGCCAAAATGGCCACGGAAGTGGTACCATCTCCTGCCTCGATATCCTGGGCAGCGGACAAATCCACCAACATACGGGCAGCTGGATGAAGAATAGCCATGTGTTTCAAAATGGTGGCACCATCATTGGAGATGATGATCTTGCCGTCCTTCGTCTTGATCATCTTGTCCATGCCTTTTGGACCTAAAGACGTTCTGATGGCATCCGACACAGCCCTGGCAGCGAGAATGTTGGACTTTCTCACCTCTTGTGGCTTCTCCTTGTCCTTAAATGTCGCATTGGACGGGTTTTTGGTTTGGGCAGCAGCCATGATTAGGGAATATGGACTGTTGGAGGTGTGTAGTTGGAAAGTATAGGGCTGAGATTTTTTCTCGATCCAGCTACGTGTGCAGGCCAAGACCAAAGTCGACGGGAATAGCACCCTAACTATGGCAATGGTTATATCTACTTTTTAGGGGTTGAAAATATGTTTTTGTAACGTCATTTTAACCAAAAACCGCAAAAACTGCCATGGAAAGTTGGATGGTTGTGGAAAATGGCGCGTTTATGATTCTTCGTGCTTGCTGCGAAATGGTTGCAAATACCCGGATTTTCTGTGGTGAACAAAAACACGTACCACTTACGAACTTACAAACTTTAAACCTTTTGTGAACGAGAAACCTTTTGTGATTTATTGGAACAGAATGCGACTAAGCCGTCAAAATGGGTTACGAAAATTAATAGTTCCAGATCTATCACTGCTTATGTAGTCTTCTGCCAATGTCCCAATCATGAGTCCGAGCTTCTCAAATTAAGAAGCTCTTGCAAGGCGAAATTACTCTCAATATATTCCCATGAACTCTTTCAAAACCCCACATGCCACGTATTGGTTCATTGTGATGCACCGTTATAGTCGTTATGAGGTGCACGGAGGTGCATCACTACATCGCTGCTTACCAGATCAAGAACCACTATCAACACCAATGACGAAGGAAACACACGTATTCAACAGAATACGTCTTACCTGCGCTCAAACAAATCAATGCTCATACCTGAATTGGTCTTCCTATTTCAAACTGCATGTTCCTGAAGCGACAGTTCTCAAGCCGCTACCCCGGGCATTTCTTGATTACCTTAGCGGAGACAGTATAAGGCTACCCACGACCGCTACTGTTGAACGAAACGATGAAAATGAATATAGTGACTGGGAAGATGAGGAGTCCGAAAGCGTGAACCCCTTGGAACACTTTCAAGATTTCCACCAAGAGCTCAAACTGATTGTGGACTCATACGGAAAGGTACTCGTGAAGACAAACTGGACAGCTGGTAAGGATGCCAAGTGGATCTTGATCAACAATTCGTTGCAATGTACATCTGTCAACGACGTGTATCTTCTTCTCAATGCATCCGATCACATTGCACACGATCTAGACGGTCATGTGTACGATGAATGTGAGGATAAGGAGGACGGTCCGCACATTGAACCAGAATTAGTGGTTAAAAAGTGGATTAACGATTTCAACCCGGCTCTTGAGTTCAGAATTTTTATCAAAGACAAGAAGATTTTGGGAGTCTCGCAGAGGGATCCAGGGCATTACATTTATCTTGAGGAACTAATACCACAATTGAAGAAATCGATTAAGAACTTCCACAGCGATGTTCTTTCCAAGCTGCAGTTCCCGCTTCGTGATTATATCCTTGATGTCTACTTGCCCAGGCCGTACAGCAAAGTATTTGTCATTGACGTGAACCCATTTCTGAGAAAATGGGATCTGCTTTTATTCACCTGGCACGAGCTTCTTGAGAAGGAAAATAATGGAGAGTTTGAGATTAGAGTCATCACGGAAACCAATATGGGACATTTATCGAGGAAAGACAATAGTGAAAGTCAAGTTCCTATAGAGGTGGTGGGAGCCGCAAACGACAGTCAAGCAATGGTTGAGCTTGCCAGAGAGTGGTCAGCCTTAGCAAGACAAGGTGAAGAATCACATTCATGAGCAACATGTGAGGGAATCTAATAGAAACGCAATTGACTGGTCACGTCTTGCGCTCATTTCACACTAAAACGAACCGCAATTGCAAAGGACAACATTAAGCGTGGATTAGCACCATTCACAGGCTTATCTGTTATTTAAGCGTTGTACAATTGCTCGGCTTCAAACCAGACGAGAGGTTGCGAAAGTTGGTAGAGTAATGAATATGCAATGCCCACAGGTGAGGTGACACAATGGAAGTTTAACTTTGCACCACAAAGTAGAACAAATCGTAAATCTTTCCAATTTAGTAGAACTTGAATTTTCATACTATTGCTGTAGGAAAGTGGTATGGGTTCTCCGAGCCATGCACGAAGGCTAGGCGCGCTGATACTTACATACTTTAAATCTCCTAAGTAATTGCTTCCCAACACCCCACACATGGTTGAGATAATTGAACTCACGAAAGAGAACGTATGTTGTCTATGAAGATGATTTGGAATATGCTAACATTAGGTAATCTTGCCCTCCTACCGCGGTCGTCTTACAGAGGGTTTCACCTATGACGTGAGGAACAATACGCTTCTTTGGGTTGACATCATTAGCGCTGAGGCACATAGAGTGTTCTTGGATGACGATGATTTGGCCAAGAGACACCAGGTTTTGAAACTCAGTGAGCCTGGAGAGTCCATCGGTGCCATCTGCAAGACCAAGAACGTCGATAGCTTCCTCCTCTGCACGAAGTCCGGAGTTTCCGTAGGAAACTTCCAGTCTGGCACTATCAAGCCATACGTCACATATCCTTTCAGCGACACACAGCGTCACCGTTTGAGATCTAACGATGCCAACATTGACCCATTGGGCAACTTGTGGGTTGGTGTGATGACCGACTTCCCCAGAACCAAGGAAGACGGACTCAAGTTCGAGGGATTGTTGTACAGAATTGACCACAAGACCAAGGAAGTGAAAGTCATGCTTAGAGACACAGGCATTTCCAATGGATTGGCGTTCAGCAGAGACGTCAAGAAGCTTTACTGGACGGACTCTCCTACCCATCAGGTGTACTCGTTAGACATTGATAACGAGAACTTGACAGTCAGCAACAAGCAGCCTATTATTGATTTCCGTAAGGCATTTGAAGTTAACAAGGAGGCCAAGGATGCAGCTCTCCCTGGTAGTGATCCCATCCCAGATGGATTGGACTTTACGGGAGATGATCGTATCTACCAGGCTCTTTTTGGCACATCAACAGCCATTGCATACGACTTGTCTGGTAAGGTCGAGAAGGTGTTGAAATTGCCAGCGGAACAGGTCACTTGTGTGCTTGTAGCTGGTAAAGACGGCGATGAAGTCTTCATCAACACCGCTCATCTTGAACACGAAGACCTTGATGCGACCATCAAGGTTGCAGAGCCAGGCGAGAAGGACATTGGAGGTCACCTCTTCAGATACAAGGCCAAGAGCAGCTTGAATGCTCGTTACCAAGATATCTGGCAGGGCGAGGTCGAGTAAATACAAGAAACGTCTGCACATTCAGCACTTGTAGACCTACCCTGTCAACTCTATAACCCTCGAAACAAACTCTTCCACGAGCTCGTTCTCCTCAGCACCGCCCATTCGTAGATCACATAACCTCATGTTGGCGATCTCCCTACGATTTTCCGCCAAAGGCTCATTTGTGATGGAGGAGTCTGTGAGGAGCTTGATGATGACGGCAATGTGAACCTGGAGACTTTTATACTTAAGAAGACTCTGGATGACGGGGTCATTGGCGATCTTTTGGTTTATGATGGGTTCGTCGTCTTTCACAGGTTCCCCAGACTTCTCAGAACCTTGCGGAGCTGCCGTTTCCTCAACGACATCATGTGAATGGGACGGGCTCTTGAAGCATACCAAGGAGCAGTATTTCACCGGGCATTTCGGGCACCGATACTTAGCCTGTTCCTTGAGGCACACAGTACATTCTCCTAAGGACATGGTATCAGAGATGCGATGAGTCGCACTGGGTGCAAAATCCCCAGAGAAGGATACGATGAGAATTGGGAAGCACGCAGACACGGAAGAAGGGGATATGCCACAAAAGACTCCAAATCACACAAAAGAAGAAAAAAATGAGAAACGTCGTCAAAAGTCCCAATACGAGGTTCCGGCGTCTCCAAGAGAATATGGATTTAGCGATCGGAGGATGTGCACCAGTGCATTTCAGCGGCCTCACGCCCAGCAGCATTTACGTATGGGTGCAGGTCCAGCCTAGCCTCCTGAGAGCATCAGTCCACCGAGCATGCCGGTCGAAAAAAAAAAAAAAATGGAATTTGGATAGGGGAGCTTAGAAGTACGTGCACATTTCGGGAGCTGTATGGATGAGTGCATATTTGGTCCACCTGATTCCATGCACTTTCTGCTTTTAGAATAATCGAAAAAGTGCAAAAAGAAAAAAAAAAAACCAATTTTTAAAATTATCGTTTTATGCATTGTTGATTTTTTTTTTCTGTTTGCAGCTCCGTAAACTCGTTGCCAGGGGCGTCGGCTATACCTCAAATGCAGCCAGCTTGAGCAAATCCCCATGCGTAGAGCAGGCCGGCTGAGAACGCAGCAGCACCAAATTCATCAGTGTGGATGAGATGTACCAAAAATATTCTTAGGTGGCGGCGAGGAGGGGAGGGGCGAAAACAATGCCGACGCAAGATTCACAAATTTCTGGAAAAGTGCCAAATATGAAACATCAAAAGCGCAATACCTTAAGACGGGCCTGTGGGCGGTGGCCCAGTCTTGGCTAGCTACGTAAGTGCCACAAAGAGGCAGCAAATGGATAGGCGTACAGCAGCAGCAGGTGGGCAGTTGCCTGCAGGAATGGCTGCAAAATGCCCTCAAATCTACAATTTAGCAGGCTACAAAGCTAGTAATCCCGTTCATCCATTTAGTCTATCATGCAAATCGTTATTCATTTCAGTAGTGTTTGCCAACCCAGGGCTGGCGCACAAGGCACTCGTCCACCTTCCGGCGTTTGCGGCCCACCAGCATAGGCGTCATGGGCATGTACTCTTCAAACGCCTGGGAGTAGCCCCGGGGCATCGCTGGGGGCACCGTTGGCGGAGTGGGCACAGGTGTGCAATGCATAAGAGGCTGCCCTAGGCAGTAGGCGGGCAGCACCACGGGAGCCATCACCACAGGAGCAAAAGGGAACGTAGGTGGAGTAGGCATCACCGTTGGAGGAGGAGGAGCGGCGGCAGCAGCAGCAGAAGCCACGGGGGCCACTGCGGGCACCGGTGGGAGCGGAACAGGGTAGTTCTCTTCAACTTGCGAGCGTAGCTGGGCAAGCCAGTATGGGTCCAAGTGAGCAAAGCGGTCCCAGAGCGAAGGGTCGTGGGCTGTAGACACCAGGAAGTTGAGGGCGCTCAAGAAATGGCTTTCTAGCTGGTTCAAAAACGGTAGCGTGGGCGCAAGGCGGGAGCACTTGCCCAAGATGGAGTGCCATGTCTTCAAGGTGTAGCTCTGGTCGTTCATGTACTTGTTGGCCAACACGAGGGAGGCAATCATAGCGTAGTAGGCGGTAGCCACGGCGGAGGTGTCGCCTAGCAGCAAGGTGTTCACCAGATTCTCCTTGTACCTAGCCAAAAGCACAATCAGCAAGGCTAGGTTGGCCAGGGAAAGATCAAGGGTATCGAGCACCAGGACAAAGTCAGCAGGATCGGGAACCACTAGCGGGCAGGCCGGGTCCTGGAGCATATGGAGGCAGCAGGCCACGTAGGTGTTGCCTAGCGTGGACATGCGGCAGTAAAGAGTGGAAAGGTGAAGGTGTAGTGGAAACTGACCAGGGCAAGTGCCCAGGGTGGTGGGGGTGGGCCGGCTTATATCAGATCATCGCAGAAAATACAGATGCACTGAGGGCCCAAACCATATCGAGGCTGCTTAACGCTGCCTGTCTGGAGGCGGCCTGGGCTGCTGACCGGGGCTATCTGCCTGGCGCCTGCCTGAAAGGGCGCCTGCAGCAGAATGGCCAAAGCGAGTGAAGAATATCGCGAGCCCTCACTCGACTGCCGCATTGGTGCGATATTGTTCATGGCTTAACGACGGCCTGGCCAGCAACTGGAGCCGGCCACCCCAAGTTAACTTGATTATGAAGGCTGGACGTTTTGGACTAGCGGTTCGGCAGCGTAGATTCAGCTCCTAAATAAATATTATCCCTAAGGCATAGGCATAGGCATATGTCCTGGGGCAGTGGGCCGGCCTGGGTTCCACCGGGTTCCGCGAAAGTCGCTTGTTTACTACCGCCCTGCTGTCCTCCTGGCGGCCTTGGCTGCCTTCACGCACTCCTGCTCCCTCGCCGCGGTTTATTGGACGACGCCTCTACGCTTGTCTCTGCCTGCTTACGCACATGCCCATTTGCAGCCGGAAAGAATGCCACTGACGTTTCCGTCTCGACACTCCATTTCCATTCCATAGGCTGCTGCCGCTGCTCTGCCCTGTGCTGCTACTGTGCTGCGCTGCCCCGTAGCCGCCCACGGCCCGCTACCGCTACTTTCAGTTGCTCCTGCTTTAGCGTGTTTGCGGTGCTTGCCTCGTCTAGCCTCGTCAACGGCTCCCTCGCCTTTAGGCCCCTACCGCCGGGGGACCTGCTCTGCCCTGGCTTCGTTTCACTCCGTGGCACCTTGCTGCGCTGCTTTGTTTGTCTGGTGCGACCGCGTGACCTGAAACTCCCTTGTTGACGCCAGCGCTGAGCGGCTCGCGGATCGGGCCAATTCCATCAGCGGCCGCAAATCCGAACTACCTGGATCGCTGGGCCTCTGGCTTCTGCAATAAAGTCTCTGCACTGGGGCTCTGCCGTTTGGCCAGAGGGCTCTACAACTCTCCTACTCTAGTCCCTACTCTTCGCCGGGCGGACCACGGAAATAAGGTTTGGGCCGCCTGCCTTTGGCCTGCTTTTTTTTTTTTGCTTTTGTGCTGCAAAGATGACAAAATGATGTAACCCACTGGGCGCTAGCAACATGGACCATCGCTGCGGCCTGTTTTGTGTCCCAGTGGACATCATGCCGGTTTCACTTCCCATTACGAAACGTTTCGCCGCCGCCTCGGCGCCAAGCGGCTACCGCCTCCCTACCCCCTGGCCGTGGAAACTCACACCTCACAATGTGTCTTTGTCGTTCGCGAGCGTATTGTCTCCTATTCGATCCAGCAAATCTGATCGTCCAGGGGGGGTGCCAGGCCCACAGCGAAGTACAACCAGCGAAAATCCGCTATTTTGGGAAAAAGGGAAATTCAGAGAAAATGAACTAAAAATATCAGGTCGTAGTTTCCCCGGCCTTCTTTTTTTTTTTTCTTTCTGTTGTCGGTGTCCGCCTTCCGCCCATACTTCTCCGTTCTCAAAATACTAGAACCGGCCCAGCCTCTGATACGTCACCGCTCCCGTAGTGCCAGTGAGAATGTGGCTGGTCTAGTCACAGGGCCCATTGCTCGTCTGGCATTGCTTTCTCCAAACCCAGCACTCTCTCCCTGCAGCTGCACTAAGCCTAGAGACTAAAGCCAAACTGTACACGGCCGACATGAATGGTGGATGCTCGCCCCAACTGGGCCACTGCATTGTTGCCACAAATACCCTCCAATGACACGATCGCCGTTTGCCTCGCTCGGGTGCCACTGACGCTCCACTGACGCTCGGTGACGCTGCCTGAAAGGCCTGGGAGATCTGGCGCCGAAGGAATGGGCCCCCGTTTCCCGTTTTGGGCGCTGTTTCAGGAATGTCCTGCCCCATCTGGCCCAGCCAACGGTGCCAAAGCCGGAAGGCATCAGATTCGCACTACAGGCCAGAAGCGTCTCTGGGGCCACTTTTCCGCAGCCAATAGGCGTGCTCGCAGGCCCCCAGTGAGGCACAGATGGGTGCCGACGGGCCTAAACGGGCCAGGCAGGCAGACAGGCAGGCAGGCAGTACCGCCGGACAAAACGCTTTGTAATTTGAGATGGCCCGCTGAAACGGTGCGGCCCTTTCTCTCCAGGTTTCCAGTTTCTACTTTCCACCTTTCTGTGCTCTGGACTTAGTCTTCCCGATTGGGTCTTAGTGCACTGCCAGCCAATACAACCCAGCCAACCCAAGTTCAAAGTGAATTCCACAATTTTTTTTCAATACCAAAACGACTCTCTCTTCTCGCCATCCTTAAACCTGGTGCTTGGTATTTTTTTTTTTGTGTCTTATAAATATTTTTATTGGTAGTGTAGCTTCTTCGCCTTCCCTGTTTCCTGGCCTCCTCCTCGCACTCCCCATCCTCTTTGTGTCAATGGCACCTCCTGCACCAGCTTATCTGATCCGAATCACGGCCCGTCGGACCAGCCTTTTTGACGTCTCCCGAAACCAAGAAACTCTTTTTGCAACCGTTGAGCATCAAGTCAAACCAGCCGTTTAAGTCGGCCCAAAAACACTTCACCACAAATCCAACCTTTCGGATCCTTAGCCTTCCGGTCCCGTCCTCTTCGCCCGCCAATTCCGCAATTCGGCCTCTCAGCAAACGCACTAGCCTTTTTCATCTCTGCGACCAAGAAATCTTCACCCAAATCAACAAAAACTTCCTTCTCCCCATTCATGCCGACACGCCGCTGCTATTATGTCTGATGTCGACGAAAAACAGCCCCAGGACCTGAAGGAGCCAAGCATTGGCCCTGAACACAGACAGAGCATGGTCTCTGACGTTCCCCAGTCTTTCGACGGTCTTCCTCCTTTGAAATCCTACGATACCGCTTACCCGCCACTTAATCAATACTCCAATCAAAAATCACTCCAGCCTTTAGGCCACAGAAAACATTCAGCATGGCTGGCCTCCGCTACCCCTGTGTCCCAACAAGTGCCCCATCCAGTACAAGCACCTACCCCTGGAGGACCAGGTCCTCTAGGCCACGTTATGTACGGAGCCCCTGCTCTCCCGTACGGTGCTTATAATTACAATTCCGCTAATCCAGGTTATGCCACTCCCGGTGTCCCCGAGATGCCCCATCAAGCCCATCCCAATGTGCACACAAACGCTAATGCTAATACAAACGGCAATGCCAATGGCGGCGAAACTAATGCCGTTCCTCCACCCGGCGGCCAAGAAAAGGCTCGTCTTAGAGTCAACAAAGCCTGTGATCGTTGCCGTACGCATAAGGTCAAGTGCAGCGGATCACACCCATGTACTAATTGCGTGAAACACAGCGTCGAGTGTGTTTTCAGAACGGTAGGCCAAACAGCCACGAATAATTTGGCCGGTGTCTCCACATCTTCTGCTACAAGCCATGACGGGCTTGCTCCAGCCAGTGAAATGTCTATTCCTGACTACCTGGCGCCTCCGAGAAAGAAGCTGAGATCTGCCTTCTCACCAGATCCGTTTCCTAATCATAGTGAAAAACATGCTAATGCTCCATCAACGCCTAATTACCACTCTCATGCGTTGCCTGTGGTGCAGAAAAACTACTCAGACCCATCATACACAGCTTACTTAGAGAACCGAGTGCACTACCTCGAGAACTTGCTATCTGACCACCTGAATGGGCATATCAAGAACGTTGGTAGAATCAACCCCGATACCTCGGATGTGGCGGACTTGATGCGTCACACAGCTTCCAAGTGGAGGTCAAGCAGAAGACATCAAAACGCTTTAGTCATTGAATTGTGCAAGGCATTGTACGAAGGTCTTGACCCCGATGCAAAGCTGAAAGTCACTGTTCCACGTACTCAGTATTTCGGCTGGAACTTGTCCGGATGCAACTATCTCAAGCCCGAGCCATTGCCGCAATTACCAGACATTAAGCTTCTCAATGAGGCGACAAAAACACACTATGTTGATTTCTTCTTCCGTGAAATCAATCCCCTTTATGCCATTCTACATGAAACTGTGTTTAGAGAGCAGATCGTGGCATTCAACAAACAGACTAATTCAGGTGCCCCCACCAATGTCACAGCTCTCTTCCAAGCCATGCTATGCTTGGTGTATGCTTTGAGTAACCGTTTCGTGCAGTTCATGGCTACTGATGGCCCTAATATGGAAATGCTTCGTCTAGAAGAAAAGTTGTTCAAGTATTCACATAAGGTCTTGCAGATTTTTAGTTTCGAGTGGGAGTCGTTTGAGTTGATCCAGTGCTGGCTACTTGCAACACTCTACTTGCGTATCACACACAGACAAACCGCTGCAAATTCAGCTTTTGGTCATGCCATCAGTATGTGTCGTTCCATGGGTTTGTTCAGAGACAGAAAAGTCACAGCAGACGTTTCCACCTATGATCTCTTGAAGGCCAAGAGAATTTTTTTCTCTATCTACTGTTTCGATAGAGTCATCTTCTTACAAGCCGGCCGCTACCGTGCGTTGAACGAGTTTGACATAATTCGCCCATTCCCCAGTTTTGACTATGTAAAAGAGTCTGCTGGTGATGATTGGATCACGCTACCGGCATTCGCAATGATCCATATTGCTCGAGTATCTAACTACCTCCACACGAACAGTTCAGACAATTACGATTTGCTCAAATCCCAGCAGATCAATAAGGAGATCTATTTATTACAAGGATGGCTATCTGAGAATGGATTCGATGACGTGCACGATATCTTCCCTTATGAGGGCTGCGGAGGCACGGTGTCCCATATGATGAAGGCAATTGTGAAACTCCACTTTTATGATTTATTGTTGGCTATCCACGGCAAGCTCCTTTTCAGCTACTTTGGTAAGAGACTTGCCTCAGAAGGTATGCAGATCGAAAAGGTTGTGGAAGCTAATGAGGGAGTGATTTATTTATTGAACAAGCTCAAGAACGCAAATTGCCTTTATGCTCCATGGTACATCAACCTACTTTTGTTGTTCAATGTGGGCATAAACTGTCTCGTGTTCATCAATGCGGGTGTGTTCCTCGTTGAGTCCAGGCGGCTCATGAAGGAGTCCATGAATTTGCTTAACATTTACCAGGATTCGCCAGTTAAGAATGAAAAGGGTAAGCTAGTGTTCCATGAGAGGTTCAAGATGGTGAAGGAATGTATTTGGGTGTTCAAAATGACCAACAAAATCATGTCACTCAGTTTCCAGAAATCACTAGCTGATATTGAAGAGTACGGCACGGACCCTGGATCAGCTGAGGTGAACCAGCAGTACTTTTCGCAGTTTGGTTTAATGAAGAGAAAGAAAAAAGACGATTTGGAGAAGCTCATGGAGGACCAAAGCAAACGGGAATACTATGGCAAAAGCAGTGTCAACGACGAGTCGTCACCTGGCACGGTGCCATCACAGCCAGCCTCCGATGCTTTTGGTAACGATAACTTTTTGGGTAACCTCCAGTGGTTTGACCAGTGGCTCGACTTTAACCAGGAGATATAATGCCGATGGCCCGGTCCCATGGGGAAAAAATAATATAATGTTGTAACGTTACGCAAATGTAAGACATGTAGGGAGATCTGGAGAAACGTGGAGTAAGATGGCTCGAGGTTGCATGCAACGTTGCATTCGCAGCTGAGGAAAAAAAAAAAAAAATAACAATAGCTTGGTGATTCATCAATGACTCAAATACAGAATTTGCGGAGGCGGGCGCGGTGCGTGAAAAAGTGGTCCCCCAAAACCATAGGGAACATAACCACGAGTGCGATGAGGATCGTGGAGGAAGTGGGGGAGCCTGTGGGCATTTTCCGGAAAAACTTCCCCTCCATAACGGGCGATGACGGGGCTATATGCAGAGCGCGCATGTTCATCAAGCGTGCTGCGTTTTTTTCATTAGCCAGGCCAAGCGTTTCTTGTCAAATGGCACCGTTCCTCGGCAGACGCCCGCGTGACGCCCCACCACGACGAAAATGCTCAGCTTTATCGATGAATAAAAGTTTCGGGTGCAGGCCACTCCGAAATCTTTCCGAAAGTGGTTCCGGCCACTTGACAGTAGTTGCCCTTCTCACGACGTAACGTGGTGCCCGTCAACTTTCCGAAAAGTGTGACACAAACCGCACAGAAGGCGTGGGGTCGGCTGGGCCCACCGGACTTTGCTTTCCGGGGAGGCAGAAAAAGTTTTTCCGGGCCCCAGGCGACGTCCTGCAGACAAGTATGGTAACCTTACAGCTGCGCACTCCTCTGTATAGAACCGCTCCACAATGCCCCAGCCAACAATATTTCTTTTTCGAGGCTCCGACTTTTTCCTCACTTCAACCACTTAACCTGCTAATACTGCTTTCAACACATACACAAAACTCCGTCTCCACCATGGAAAAGAAGAAGGGGGACAGACCTTACAAGTGCACGATGTGCGACAAGGCCTTCCACAGGCTTGAGCATCAGACGAGGCACATTCGAACCCACACGGGTGAGAAGCCCCACCCTTGCACGTTTCCAGGTTGCAATAAACGTTTCTCTCGTTCAGATGAGTTGACGAGACACTTGAGAATCCACAATAATCCGGCGAGCCGAAAGAGACCCAATAAGTACCGCCAGGCCGACCCCAAGGAGCAATCCTCCATGAACGGTGTCCCTATGGCATCTATTCCCGTCGGATACGATGGCCAACAACCTCATTACTACCCTCCAGGCGCCTACCCAGTTTACTTTGTGCAGCCGGGAATGCAGCCTATCCAGGGCATCCAGCAGTTCTCGCAAGTTCAGCAGATTCAGGGCCACTACGCTGTGCCTCCAGGACAAGCAATCGCTGTTCCTGTTTCCTACGAAGATGGTCAATACGTCGCTCAGCATGTCCCGCAAGGCGTGCCAGTCCAGGGCGTTCCTGTGAACCACTACCTGACCTCGCCTAGCGAGACGCAATCTCCTCCACAATATGGCCAGAAGAGTATGGCACAGATAGCAAAGCCTTTAGCCTCTCGCTTTGGTGCTCAGGCTTTGTCGCCATCCACCGGTTCGCTCGGAAAGACCAGCAGTCTGGTGTCCATCGGTTCGGCTGCTAATACTTCTCAAGTGTTCAGCAACTCCAACACCGGCTCCCTGCCCAACTCATCCGCTGCATCATCAACAAATTCACCCGAAACCGCCAAGTCAGTCAATCCCTTGAAGCCTGTGTCTCAGCAGAATCAAACACCCTCGTTCTCAAACCTTAACGATTACTTCCACAGGCTGCGTGCATTCGGTTCCAACAGCTCGCTCAACAAACTCAAGACAAGCAGCTCACTGGGTAATTTGGGAAACTTGAGCAGCTCGCTCTCTTCCTTCCAAAGAATGACCCCTCTCAAGGTGACCTCGCCCTCGGCCCTGTTCCAGCTGGGAATCAAGAAGCCATCTTCTCTGACGCAACTCAACCTCGAGTTCACACAGCCAGTCAAGAAGTCTAGGCCAAACTCCCCGACTGGATCGGCAGTCAACTTGTACATGACGCCAAGTGTGGATAGAAGCTTCACGAATTCTCCACCAAGGCCTCACTCTGCCATTACAACCCGCACGGGTAACCCTGCTTTCATAATCTCTCCTAACGAGACTCCACTCCAGACGCCGTCCCACTCCCCTCCACTACAAGCACAAAACTTGCCAGAGAAGGGGTTGAACTCGACGTACTTGTTTAGTGAGTTGGAGAAGCAGAAGCAGAAGGCATCTGAGAGTATAGCCGACAGCGGTACGACGCTTCCACCGATCAGGTCGGTGTTCAATTTCTCGAAGCAAGATGGGTTGCAGCCTCTTCATATTCGGAAGGAATAAGCTGCATGGATAATATAGAATGGGTAAAGGATTAACGGTTACAGAGTTGTAGGTATACGTGATAGATATTGAAGAGTAGGCAAAGGTAAATGAAGGTGAGTCAAACGGCCAGTGTTTGCATACCACAGTGGTACAGTGAACATTAAAGTTAAGGTTTGGCCCGACGTTCCCCTAGGTCTGTCTACCGGATTTTTCTTATTAGGAAGGTACAGAGATCAGGAAGGTATAGACATTCAAGCTCAGTCTCTACACACATGTCCAAGTCACACATTCGCCATTTGCACCCAATACAATATGGTCATTCACAAACGTCATCATCAAGTCCATGACGAATTCAGACAAGTCATGCTTTGTTATTGCATCTTCACGATCACTACGCTCAGGAGGACCCTCTCTCCCCTGACTCCTTCCACCACCTGACCATGTCTCGTTTGCAACCAATCACGAATCTTTTCTATATCCGGCAAAACCCAGCATGGTCACCTCAACATGACCACGTGAGTCCATACAACCGCCGCTTTCTCCGATAATAACCCCTTCGATGCAAAAATCTGTGGCACGATTTAAAGTGCAATTAGGTTGGCTGTTGGTGTGAGGCCCTGGAGCCCAGGTATGGTTTCCTGCAGGTCGGGCGTAATACGTAATGAGCCCGGGCAGGCGGTCACAAAGGGAATGGCGAGATGTGAAGCAAACAAAACAAGCTACGGCAGCAAAAAAAGAAAGAAATAGTAAGAAAGTTGACGAGAGGTAAGGTTGTCAAAGATAAGCGGCATCAGGCGGTGTTGCCGGGCATCGCAAGCAAGTGAGCCAGTCTAGAGTGAGGCCCCACAGAAAAAGAAAAGTCTCAGCAAAGACGGCTATGGACAATGCCAGGGAGGATTTCACAAAGGGCAGACGTAGGCCAGGACCAACAAGTAGCAAAAGAAAACAAAATGAATTAAACAAAGATTAGATTTTGTAGAATTGCTAACCAACAAATTTTAAAACTCTAAATTTCCGAAAAACGGCTGGACCGGCTTCCTGAGTTTCAGCGAAGAGCACAACATTGGGCGGTGCGTGGGCCCTTTGGTGATGCCGGGGCGCACGCTTTTGTGCTTTGTGCTGGCATTTTGGCGCCTGGATGTCCGTCTAGGCCGGCGCTACGCAGCAAAACTGAGCCACGGCAACGCCAAAGGGAAATTTATAGGGTCTTTCAAGAAAAATCAAAAAAAGCCTCTTCATATTCTGGATCGTAATTTTTTCTTGTCAGATAGTGGCATTTATCAGTTTTCTGTCTTCATCTCCAATAATTAGGCCCGTGCCCCTATTGCCAAGGCGGCTCGTGAGGCCCAAGGGTAATGCGGCAGCACCTGCATAGGGGCGGCTCAGCTTCATGTTTTTACTCGACTTTTTTTTTTTTTTTTTTCTTTTCCTCCAGGACGGCCTCGAAATAAAACTGAGAAAATCGCTGGATGTGTTGTACAACACTTTTTTCTTCCACCCCCCAACACAAATCATAAAAAAACACACGGAGCTTACTAGCCACTCTCTGAAGCAGCACTCCGTTCTTGTTTTTTAACCCCCCACCCCCTTTCTCCTTATTTTCCCTGGTCAGTCCAAGGGACAAATAATCAGAACCCCTCCAAAGAGTCCCAACAGGCTAATCTCCGAGAATCGAGCTTTTCACTAAGTCTTCGTTCCTCGCCCTGTTGCCCTTTGCTCCGGATATCCCCAGTGATTCCAAATATGTACTCGTCGAATATCGGCACTCAAGGCCACAGAGCTTCGTCTCTGTACTCGGGCTACCAGTACTCCCAGTACAAGCCTGTCCCAGGCCCTTACCAGCACCAGGTGCCTTTCCAGCACCACCAGCCCCAAATGTCTATGGGCATGGGCGGCTACTACTCGAACCCTATGGTTCAGGGTCCTCCTCCTTACATGCCTGTCCAGGCTCCTTTGGCTCCTTTGGCTGCTCCACCGTTAGCTCCCGTGGCTAACCCAGCCCCAGCTCCCGCCCCAGCTCCTGCTGCCGGCGGTATCAACGCTGTTTTGGAGTATGAGCCTAACGACATGGCAGCTTTCCTTTGCTGGTGTGCATTTGGCATGCTTAACCAAAATAGGAACCCTACTAAGGACTTCGAGAAGATGGCCGTTTCTATCTTATATGCTACTCGCTTGCCTAAGTCCTCCATCATAATCGCTTTGGAGTATATGAACCAGCGCTTTTCGTCGGCCCCACTTGGATACTTGTCTGAGCACGAGATCTTTGTCAAGTTGGTCGTCGCTTTGGTGTTGGCCAACAAGTTCAATGATGACAACACCTTCACTAACAGATCATGGTGTGGTGCTACTGGCCTTCAGATCGAAGTCATCAACGAGGAAGAGGCCACCTGGCTCCGTGAAGTCAAGTGGCAGTTGAACGTCGTCAAGTTCAGAGACAACATCCGCACATTGGAAGAGTGCTGGAGAACCTGGTTGGACAAGTACCTGCCCCAGGCTCAAGCCCAGTCCCAGGCTCAACAGCCTGCCTCTCCAATGCTGTCGTCGGAAAAGGGTTTCTACAGCTCGTCGCCCGTTCCCTCCTCGCCACTGTACCAGTCTTCGATCTCGTCTGGCTATAATGTGTCTCCTTCGGACATGACACCACCAAAATATTCTCAAGACCCATCTTGGTCTCAGAACTACAACTTCAGACCGCTGTACCCAACGCAGCTGTCCATTTGGGCCTACACGCCGACTCAGTACCAATACGTTCCCCAGCATGACTCAGCAATGTCTGGCGTTAACTACTTTGGTTACAACAATCCTTACTACGCCTGCAATATGGCGTCCTGTTAAGTGTTTTCAGCATTATAAAATTTTGTTAAAAAAAAAAAAAAGAAAAAAAGATAAATCCTTTATGAGAAATCTTGTTCCGTTTGCTTCTTTCCACAGATTATTTTTGCATCACCTACCAGCTTGGGTATTTATTGACTTCTTGTCCGCAGTGATGCTTGGTTTATTAAAATTATAGACTTCATGGTTCTGTCTTGTAGGAACATGAATGTTTGGGTTTCATACGATGTTACTTTTTTTTTTTTTTTTGGCTTTTGATTTTTTGTTATAGCATTATACACGCTACGTATCATCTATAGTAGTCCTTGTTGTTTGCTAGGATATTGGCTTCCATACGGCTTATGCCTCTTCCTTGACTTCCTCTTCCTTGACCTCGAACTCTCCATCGTCCTCGTCGTCCTCGGGAATGTCGTTCTCCTCAGCAGCCTTCTGGTAGTCAATCACCTTACCTCTCGTTCTGCGGCCACCGGTGATGATGTTGGACTCGTCAATCTCCAACAAGTCCTCTTCCTCATCTTCGGCATTTTCCTCCTCGGCGTCATCGCCCTCAACGTCCTTCTCGTCATCTTCGTCCTCGGACTTGGCCTCCTCCTTAGGGGGCTCGTCGTCGTAGTTTCTTCTTCTTCTCTTCTTCTTCTTGTCCTTTCCATCGTGCTCTCTCTTCTTGTCTGACGCCTCAGTTTCTTCAGATTTCTCCTCCTTGGGAGCTTCGGCGGCTTCAGTGGACTCAACCTTCTCAGTGGTTTCTGGAGCCTTCTCGGTTTCCTCAACTACAGGCTTTGTTTCTTCCTCAGACATGGCAATTGAGTGAATATGTGCTGTTGGAACGTTCCTACGTGCTTTTTTCCAGTTGCGAATCTGCCGGGTTATATACCCAGCAACGTTCAGGACAATGCAAGAAGACGTGGCTGAAGTGTAAAATCGGGGTCGATTAGCGTTTTCGAAAGATGATTAAAATATATCGATAAACGAAGAACGCTAAGCCGATAGATTTGGATAATTCTACCTACGGGTTCGGCCGAATCGGGCATGATAGGGAACAGTGCAAGATCTAGACCTCGAAGCACACTACGAGGTGAAGAAACACTCTTTCTACTTGTACCATCGGCAATTTTTGCTTTGGTACCCACGACTCCACATTTAATTGTGAACTGAGGTGATTGCTTCCTGGTTTGTCCTTGTGAGTCGAATCTCTGTATTGAGGAATCATCTACTTCATTTACCGAGACCTAGGCTATGGTGTCATTTCTTCGCTTACAACTCTGTTTCATAACCCCCCATTAAAATAGCTGTTCAATTTGTAGGAGTTAGCAAACTGGGTAGTACGTCTACAGAGGTCCCTCTCGATACAAAAGTGAGGGATTTTAAAATAGAATTTCAAAACATCGTTTTCAATATCGTTCAAATGACTCTGTGAACTAAATTCAATCAAATTCTTTCTTAAAATTTTATCTTGACCCAATATGTGCTTCTCCACTACGCTGCTTACCTCCTCATCAAGCCTGCGACTTTCGCACTATCACTTCTTAAGTCTTCACTACTCGGTGCATCTCGATTATCCATTACCATGTCATTCACCGTCAATAAAAGCACGAAGCTAGGCGATCTCTTACACTATCGTCTCAAAGTGACGACTATTGATGGCAGATCCTATGTTGGCCAGCTTCTAGCGTTCGACCAACACATGAACCTTGTCCTCGCAGACACTGAGGAAGCCAGGGTCACTAAAAAGCTGTATCAGGAGCTTGCGAAGAATAAAGCCGAGGGTCAGGTTAAGGCTACGGAGGAGAAGAGATTCTTGGGTCTCATTGTCTTGAGAGGAGAGCAGGTTGTTGGGTTCACTATTCAGACGGGACCTACTGCTGACATGAAGAAACGTTTCAATCAACTCAAACAAGGCAAGGGTGTTTCGAAGCCTTTGAAAGTGCCGGTCAGCCAGAAAGCCAAACTTCAAGGCCCCACGAAGAAGTAACGAGAAAGTTACCGTTCTGGTACTGGCAGTGTAATCTAGATAGCATAGAGAGACAGGGTTCTATCTTCTGCGTGTACATTAGTATAATGAAAATAGCTTAGACGTAACAGCAAAGGCAGTGCAAGTCATGCAGCCGAACTGATTCCAAACTGTTGTTGTATCGCTTGCACAATATATATCGCTCACTCTTGAGCTCCAGACTCCCAATAAAAGT